GTCTGGGAAACAGAAACTTCATTTAGTGGCTGATCGAAGAAGAGGCAGACTCCCTCGGTTAAGTACTGAGCTGAACTCAAGAAAGCCAGTAACAGAGAGGGAGGACTGATGACCAAAGGGATTAAGACTGGGCTGGTTTAACCCCCAGAAACAGCTGACCTGACAAAGGTTAACTCTTGAATCCCAGGCTGATGCCAGCATGGGACTGATCAAGACCCCCTGAATGTGAGTGTCAGTGAGGAGGCCTAGGTAATCTATTGAGCCTTGGGCAGCAGATCAGTACCCATCCCGAGTATACACATGGACTTTGGACTCCCATCCAACAATGTGAGGCTCACTCTCACCCTGAACTCTTGGGGGAGGGTCTAGGCCCTGCCCTATATGAAATGACAGACTATGGACACCCCCATGGAGGGCCTCACCCTCCCTGCGGAAATGAGGGGATAATGGGGGGTTGGGGGGGAAGGCACGGGAGGAGGGGAGGGAAAGGGAGAGGGACCTGGAACTGACTTGTGAAGCAACCTTGTTTCTTATCTAAATTTAAACTGAAAAATAAAAAAAAAAGAAAAAAAAGATTAAGGCAATAAACATACACTGCATGTCTAATGTTATCTTTAAAAGTTTTAATTAAAATATAATTGCACCATTTTTCCCTTTCATCCTTCAGTCTCTCCCATGTTCCATCTAACCTTGCCCTCTATTAAATTCAATACATTCATACATATATATGTATATATAAGTATATATATTGCTCAGTCCATATAATGTTACAGGCTGACTATTTAGTATTGGATAACTTTTTGAAAAGGATGCTCTACTTTCCCTTTTGAGGTGATATATGAAAACAATGTAACTTGTAATATTTATGTTGTATAAACTAGAGTAACAAATACCTGGGCTAATGTTTTCACATGATACCATCATCTACATTTCATTCAAAGAGCTCATCAAATGTTAAACTGAAAGCATTATTATTATTTTTTTGGTGTGTGATTTTAATGTCTGGTTTCCCTCACACTTGCAAATTTGAATAGAATCTTCATCTCAAGAAACTATTTAAGAATTATATAGGGAGCAGTTAGAAACATGTGAAATCACTCATAACTGCCATCTGATTGCTAGGTACACAGGAGTAGCAACTAGAACAGTTGATAAACAAATCGTTTGGGATTTCATAAACCAATGCTGTATTTTATTACAAATATCAGGATCCTTTCTGTTAAAAAGGCATAAAATCATGCCTTCCTTTGTTTCCGGTATTCTTGATAGAATCGATACTCAGGGTCTTTCCCATCTTTGCAATCAAGCTTCAGGAGAATTCTTTCCTCAGTCATCTGGTGAAATTGGGATGACATTTTAATATGGAAGCATTGTTAAAAATTAGCCGATGAGTGACTTAAGCCAGTGTATAAAACGGATGCCATCAGTAGATTAAATCAATCTCTCATTGCTTGGTTCTATTGACAGTTAGTTGAAACCTGGTTCCATTAGACTACACAAGACAAGAACAACCAGATTGTTGCTCTGCTGAGTCATGAGAAATATCACTAGTCATTGAGAAGACACTTAACATAGCAGTCCTTTTTGCCTTGTGCATTTTAAAGAGAAATTTCCAGGAAAGCAATCAATAAGATACACGTGTTAGTTATCTAAGGCTGCCATAAAATTTCCTACAAACTGGTGGCTAAGGTTTAACTCTCTTTGGGTTCTGGTTTTGAGGGGCAAGCAAAAACCTGAAGCTGTGGCCAAGCATGGCGCCTCCTCCTGCTGCGGCTGCAGAGGAGCTGAGGTTCTTCTATTTCGGTCCTGGTGACATCGAGCTTCTTTGGTTTGTCCTTGCAGCAGTTCATACTCAAAAGTCCCCCCTCTTCCCTCCTGAAATAGCCAGAATACTCTCCTCTGAGAAGTCTTAACTTATTTCACTTTTCATTTTAGCATATGGTATAAGTTTTGAGCTACAAATGAATACATGGACACAACTTTGGGGTCACCCATTAGCCTGCAGTAAAATACATTGTTCATTTCCAAACTCAACTATTCTTTATCTTTGTTCAAAAGCAACCATCTTCCTAATTGAAAAAATTAATTTATTCTCGTTTTCTTTCTTTTAATAGGTAATGTTGTTATCAAGTCACCTGTCTATTTAGTCAGTAAAGATTTACCATCCTTTCTGGAGCAAGTTATGGTTTAGGATCAAATAACAAAGATACTTAAAGTCATGACATAAATGATTCTAGGTCTTCTAAGCATTTAAGAAAGCTTTTCATAAGTTAAACCATTTTATCATGGCATAGATAAACTCTCTACTTATAATGGCATAGAACTATGTATTAAGATACAACTATGATGTCTATGTACCAATATAAAATATATAAAGTGTATGTATATACATATATATATGCGTGTGTGTGTGTAAACAACTTAAAATGTCATGTTTACAAATGAGTTAATTTTAGTTCAACAATATGTCATATAATTCCTAAAGACTTATAAAAATTCCCCCAGAGGCAAACATGGTAAACAGTCACTAGATTCTCTATGCCTTGCTTCTCTCATGTTAGTTGAGAAGAATTCTGAGTTGTGCTGAATCCTGGGGGGTGCTAACTCTGATATAATTCAGTAACAGAATGATGTTGTCTTTCAATAGCTCTTCCAATGACACATAGACTATGAAAATGCAACTCCTTTATGTATTTCCCTGGATTGTACTTTACTTAGAACTTGATCTTTTCGTTTTTTTCATTTTTTTTAACATTTCATTTTATTAGGAACTCTTGAAACAAAAATGTTGACCTGAGGTTTGAAGAGCACACACTGCAAAAGAAAAAATAATGCCTGTAGGTACTTCTTTTCCCCCCTGTGAGGAAACTCATAACAGATTTATTCTCTTCCATGGTTATCAAAATTCACTTGCTGCACCCCATGAATGTGAGGTGGAAGAAAGGAGTTTCAAGTTTCTTCTGCTCTCAGCTTGTCCTCAACTTTTAAAAGAGAATTTGGGTCACATAAGGAGGAACAAATGAGAATCTTACAGAAGCAGCGTGGTCCTGACCCTGGCAGGCAAAGAGCAGTGACACTTTAGAAAATTGGAAATTGCCTAAGGCAAAAAGAGCTGAAAAGCATATAGTTAATTTCATGCTATCTATTTTTTCAAGGATTAATGAATGACAGTCACATTCTTCATTTGTGCCAACATGAGAAATGTAATTGCCTCTACATGATTCCCACTATTGTTGAAAGTAATATGTAGAATATGACTAACTGGGTCAGGTGGCTCAGCATGTATGGTCTTTGGGAAGCAACCCTGCTATTCCGAGTTCCATGCCAGGATTCATATGGTGGAAGAAGAGGACTCAATCCTGCATGAAGCCCTCTGACCTCCACATGTGTGGAAGGTGAACGCCCTCATACATGTACACACATGCTCACAAAACAAATAAATAAAAATGGAAGAAAATTTTTAAAAAGATTGTCAGCAAACTAGATCATGGCAAATCTCTTGAACAACAGACAACAATGCAGTCATTATTTGCAGTATGCTGACATCACCACCCAACCCCCTAAGTTAAACACACTGTCCTAGGAAATTTTAGCCTCATGTTAATAGTGAACTTAAAGAAATTATAAAAGGCTTTCATTGACATGGACCATAATGAATAGTCTTGTAAAATCAAAAGAAGGAGAGTAGAGCAGAGAAGACTGCTTCATATTCCTAGGTAGACAAGTGAACTTCCTTAATCTAATAGTGCATTTTAGGAAGCAAAAATGGCTCAAAGAAAATCCAGATTTTAGAGAGTATCTTAGGGTTTCTATTGTTTCAACAAAACACCATAACCCAAAGGCAAGTTGGGGAGGAAAGGGTTTATTGGCATACACTTCAGCCTGTTATTAATCAGTGAAGGAAGTCAGGGCAGGAAATCAAACAGGGCAGGACCTCAGAGGCAGGAGCTGATGCAGAGACCATAGAGAGAGCTGCTTCCTGTCTTGCTTTCCCTGGCTGGCTCAACTCACTTTCTTATAGAACCCAGGACAAGCATCCCAGCGATGGCACCCCCACAATGGGCTGGGCCCTCGTCCACTGAACACTAAATGAGAAAATGCCTTACAGCTGGAACTCAAAGAGGCATTTCCTCAGCTGAGGCTCCTTTCTCTCATGCCTTTAGTTTGTGTCAGATTGACACCCAAAACTACAAAGTACAAAAAGATTGATCAAAATCAGAATGTAACAACTAGGCTCCTCATTAATTGAACAAGTTTTCAGTCCATAATATTTCATCATTATTTTAACAACAGTTTTCAGAGATGTTGCAGGGCTCAGCTTCTTCATTCAATATTACAAATGTTCTGTTAAATGCAATTTTACTTAAAACAAAAATAACATTGAAGAGGTAATTTCCTTTTAATACATTCCACAACTCTGTTCAAAAATAGCAAAATAATAGATTTACCATTTCGTAGAGAACATCAGAATAATTTGAACAAGAGTTTAAAACTAAACAAAAGGAATATACAGTTGTTAACATCAAAAGTATTAGTACTTATCCCTATTTGTCATACTTTGCATATAGTTTATTGCTCTGCCATGAAATATTTGAGAACATATGACAAACAACAGACAAACTGAGACACTGAGGCTTGGACACTGAAAGGCAATAACTAAGAAAACAAAACATTGCTGCTACCCATAAAAAAATGAAAGCCAGACCATATGTCTAATTTCATCTCAGTACTGCTAGTTCCCACAGTCACTGAAACGAACAAACAGAATCAGGACTTCCTCACTTCTCATCTTTGTTGTTTATAGGCACAGGTATTATTCTTACCAAAAAGACAGACCTGCCCTGACAATAATTAAACAGAAGTTTCAACAAGAACAGCGAAATCACAAATTTACAAACCCATCCATTCACAAAATGATTTCATTATAACATTCACATAAGCCTAAGATCTGCTGGCCTAAAATCATATATTAACAAAATCAAATTAATTTAGTGTCCTACCTGTAACGAGAAAGCTGCATCTCCCTGCTCCGGCTTCATTTATGATGCTGCAGTTATAAACTCCATAGTTTTCATTGGAAAGACTTTTTACTGGGTACTCTGTATACTCCTGAGAGTCAAACTGACCGGTCCGTAATAATTTATTACCCAGACGCCATTCATAGGTCAGCACTCGTATTGGATAAGCTCTTAAGACCCTGCAGCTCATGGACACACTTCTGTCCTGTCCTTGACGGATTTCCAAGAATGCTGGTTCCACAGCTGGGGGATCTGGGGAAAGATAAGTTAAAATATATGAAAGGTGAGGTTTTCAAAACAGTGATCTAAATGCCTATTCTATTGTGAAGGGAGTATTTTTTCATTACTGTATATTTATTTATTTATTTCTTATGAATTTTATTTAAATTAGAAACAATCTTATTTTATATATCAATACAAGTTTCCTCTTATTTTTTTGAGACAGGGTTTTTCTGTGTAGCTCTGTAGACCAGGCTGGCCTCATACTCACAGACATATGCCTGTCTCTGCATCCCAAGTATTGGGAATAAAGGTGTCTGCCATTAGCACGCTTATAATGGGTGAGTATAAGAGGTGGATTGAGAATATAAAAAATGGAGGAATTTCATCTTGAGCTTGGAAATAAGGTTTCCTCAGAGTGGACAATGAATGAGACTTGTTGCTTTACAAAAAGTATTTACAGGAAAAACAACAGCACCAAAAAATTCTTATTTCCTTCTAGCTGGTTCCAGGAAAAACACAATTGCCATAACTTTTTATTTAGATGTTCAGGCACTAGTGAAGTTATTGATGCACAAACAGAATCAAGACAAGACTTCATATTAGTATAAGACTACAAAACAGAACGGGTTCTATTTCATCCATAAATTGTAATTATCTTTTGTTGAGCTCAGTCTGTGGATCTGGTACTTATTAGTTTATAAAATAGATAAGTTTATAAATTTATGTTTTAAATGGTTTGGTTTGATTTCCTTGGAATGAGAGTCCACAGTCCATAGACCTTAAGCACACTTTGTAACACACAGTTTAAGATGGTTTTCAATCCCGCTGTAATAGCTAACTTATTTGCCATACTTATGACTTTTTCATGTAACTAAAACTTGCTATATTTGCTACCTAACATTTTTTATTTTGATGATGAAATTTCCAATACACCATTTAAAGGATACAAAATATACCTTTTCACTTTAAAAAACCCCAAATACAAATGTTTACTGAAACACTTAGTAGTCATCAATTGAAAGTTAAATTTTGAAGAGGATGATGTAACCTATCACGGAAGCTGTGTAACCATGCAGACAAAATGATTGACGAGCTCACCCTTAACTAGACATTCATGGGCTTCACAGTGTTCAAAGGTTTTAGAAATTGATTATCATCAGTCTGGAATTTATTTGTTACACCCTATGTTGCCCGTTGAATAGTTTCCCTCTATATTCTCATTGCCAGTTACTGAATGGTCTTTCTTACTACTTTCGGCAAACATTTTTAAGCCACTCCATCAATTCTAATTTTATCTATTCAGTTTTTTTCCTCTTAGGATTCTTTCCCTAAAAGCAGTAAGGATTTTTTCTACATGCAAGAAAATATAACCTGCTTTGAATGTATTTCATGGCACAACACTGACAAGGTATTTTAAGAAAGGTGGTGCCTGTGTTACGTCTTGTAGAAAACAAAGACCATGTTGGGTATGTGTCAAATAAAGGACATTCCCGGTATGAGAGAAGGGTGCCTACAGAGGAGCCAGTGAGGAGGGAGTGCCCAGAGAAACGCAAAAGAACAGCCTAAGTCAGTGTATAAAATACCACTGTGGTTCTGGAGAAAATGACAGTGGATTGTCAGGAGAATCTTTCCAATGATATTTGTGCCCCATATTACAGAGCTAGGTTTTACAGTGTCAGAATTAGGAGAATTATTAAAAAATAAGAGACTTAATTTTCAAATTATTAGTCACAGTATTACCATCATTAAGAAAAATTCTGTAGTAGAAAAGAGGGCATGAAGCAAATGGGAAAAGGCAAATTGCAAAAAAAGACAGCATTGGTTTAAAATAAAAGAATAAAAGGTGAACAACTAGAAAGTAAGCAAGATAACGAGTGATTTCTTACGTGATGAGGTGGATGGTGATGTCAGGTCAACAAATGGGAAGGAAAGAATGGGAATCTAGTGTACGGTGGGCATGCCGATTCTCTGGACATGCGAGTCACACTGGTAACAAAGATTTTCTCCTAATTCTCTATTGCTGCCTAATTTGTCTATTTCCAAATATACAGGCTATTTTTGGTTATCACTTCTTTGAAATTTTATTTTAATGACTCATGTTCAGATGAAAGTCCATATAGACTCTGTCCTCCAGATGTGTGGGTGCTTTTGTAGGACACTCAGAGGAAAAGGGATGAAGAAGAAACACTGTACAGTGTGACAGTGAAATATCATAAGTCAGGTCATGTCTGGTAAGACTGACTGGTTAACTGGGTGACTGCCTACTTATTTTAGTTGGGTTAACTTGGCTTTCTTAGTCCTGCAATTTTCTCTTGTAATTCTATCTCCTTTTTGCTTTATCTATTTCTTACTGTACTACCAAGAACATGCACATTTTAAATTTCACGAGTTCAGGTTTATTACTGTAAGCTCTTCTTTATTTCTAAGGTTCAGTTTTTAAGAGTCTATTTTATGTACTATTGTAGCTACTCATGCATTCATTTATCTAGGTTTTGCAGTTCACATTTTTGGAAGTTTTATTCTTTCCTTTAAATTTTATTTAAATTAGAAACAAGCTTGTTTCACATATCAATCCCAGTTCCTTCTCCCTCCCCTCCTCCCCCACCACCATCTCCCCAATCCCTCACCCAGTTCCCTACTCCACTCCCCAGGGAGGGTGAGGACTTCCATGGGGGATCTCCAAAGTTTGTCATATCATCCTGGGCAAGGCCTAGGACCTCTCTCATGTGTTCATGCTGAGAGAGCATCCTTCCATGTGGAATGGGTTCCCAAAGTCCATTCAGATGCAAAGGATAAATACTGATCCACTACCCAAGGCCCCATAGATTGCTGAGGCTTCCTCACTGACACCCAGATTTAGAGGGTCTGCATCAGTCCCATGCTGGCCTCTCAGCCCTCAGGCTGGGGTCCATGAGGAAGTTTTCTTCTTAAGCTTCAGCATCATCACATTTCCCAGGTACCTCTTTTGACCAAGTCTGTGGCTGTCCTTCATCATTTCCGGAGAGCCTGGCAACCCTCTCTACCAGATATTTAGAATGTCATTCATTTACATTTGGATAAAACCATTTGTCTCATTTTGTATTTTCTTTTCAAGTTTTGATTCTTGATTGCCTTCCTTTTAAATGTTGGGTTATATAATTATCCAATCCCTTTCTTGCTGCCAGTTAGGATTTGCCTACTTTTCTGTTACTTTGATTTCATTACCATGGGTCTAGAAAAAAGCTAAACCTGAAAACTTTTTCCTTCTTTCACTCTCATCTTGAGATGTGTTACTGACTCATGAATTTTAATTCTGCCTTGCTTTTAAAATTCTATTACACATCAGCTGCAATGCTAACATTTCTATGCCCCATTTCATTAGCCTTTTGTTCCTTAATAAACAAAGGCCCTAGACCTGTGATCATTTCATTTCAGTAGTCACCATTCTGACCGTCCCAGAGTATCTTTGCTTATCTCTATGATCTTGATATGCAAAGACATATTTTCATTATTAAAATCATTTTCCAAAACACACAGTTTTATAGGCAGGCATTTCTTTCTGTTTGTCAATACACAGTTCCACTCCCTTTGGATGGCCAAGTATTCTGTAGAAAATTGGTTTCAAAGCCTTCCATTTTGAGCTGCTTTTTCTTCTGCCCAGCTCCTTTCAAAATCTCTTTGTCTTTGATGTCTATGGTTCCACATAATGTTTATAGGTATGGGCTTCTTTTTAGTTGTAGGTACAATTTGTTATGCTTATGGCTGTTGATTTACATTTGTCTTTCATCTATGATATTTTAGAAAGTTCTCATCATCAGCTCTTCAAACAAAACTTCTTTTGTCTTCTTTTAAATCTTCACTTGATGATTCTTTCTCCTATGTCTTCCACATTTTAAAACTATTTTCCAAAGGCTTTCCGTGTGTTTGTGTTTGTTTTTTTAGTGTTTTGTCTTTTGTTTTTTTCTTTTTGGTTTTTCGAGACAGGGTTTCTCTGTATTGTTTTGGAGTCTGTCCTAGAACTCACTCTGTAGACCACGCTGGCCTCGAACTCACAGAAATCCCCCTGCCTCTGCCTCCCGAGTACCAGGATTAAAGGCATTCATCACCAACGCCCGAGTTCTGTGTGTTATTATTAATAAACTCATCTGAGAAAACAGTTTGTTAATTTTTTCATAATTCTACTTAATCTGTTAAGTGTATTTCTGGTGTTTTAAATTCAGTAATTCAGATTTAGTCTATAAACCTTCAATACAATTCTTCTTCATAACTACTATGCTGTCTAGCATGGTCAGACATATCTTTAATTTCTTAAACAAAGTCACTATTTTATCCGGTCTGACAGTGAAGACCTTGGGGAGTTTATTCCTGCTGCTTTTCTTTGAGAGTTCATGTTTGTCACTTTGTAAGTGTTGATTCTCTTTCTAAACTTTGAAACTTAAAATCATCTTGGTTTTTTTTTTCTCTGCAGAGAGGACTCATGTTCATAAGCAAGTATTAGCTGCAATACTTGTAACTATGCAAATGGCTGCATGCCTATTTGAACGATTAAGTGATAGAGGCTGTGATATAAACTATATTCCCACATCTTAAACATTATTATAGTCTCAAAACACTCTTCTATAGAGAGTGGCAGTATAAAACACTATGTTCACTTTACCTTTGTTCTCACCCTTGAATTCCGCCTGCTTGGGGAAGGGTGGAAGATGCCCCCCACCAATGGTGCCATGAATTCTCTAGATTTGAAGTCCTTTACTCACTGCTCAGGGGTATCAACAACCAGACCTCATCCAAGTTGGCAAAGGCACTCAATGAAACTGTAGCTGCTTTGCTCACTCTCCTATAAATTCACTGAAGTGCATTTTAATAAGCATTTTGATGTTCTCATTAGGGGTTAGGAACCATCTTTCATCTGTGTTAACTAGAGAGGGTTTGTAGAATATTCCATTTTTGTATCTGCTCAGATATGTCTTGCTAGTCAAAGGAACATATGACTAAAACCCTACAAGATCTGGGCATAGAAGCATTCCTTGAAATCCCATAACTTCATAGGG